TGCAACACAAAGAAAAGAGGGAGGGAAAAAGTGTGGGGCAGAAACCACCACAAGCACATCTCAACCTCTTTAAAGCAAGCAAAGAGATGCAAAACCAAGGAGGAATGCAAGCAAAAGAATTTGAACAAGTCCATGTAAAAGTGAGATGAAATGGGAGAAGTCACAACTCCTACAACCATTCAAGCATCAATCACCAAACCAAAAGGAAAACAAAAAAAAGAAAGAGAAGAAGGCATGATCAAGATGAGGGTGGGAGAATAGGCTTGGGCAGCAACCTACATAAGAAGAATCTCAACCAAAAGCATCACATTGATCATGCAACAAGAAAACACAAACAAGTTCTCAAAGTGACATCTCATTCAAGGCAAACTCAAAGTACAAACAAAGAGTACCAAATCACCTTGAATGAGTTCCAAAGTCCAAGGGACAGAAGTGAGAACAAGAGAAGAAGGTTCACAAACCAAAGAAGAAGCAAATCCAAGACAAGTTACAAAGTAGGGTAAGGTAAATAACCAAAGTTCAAAATACTTTCAACATTCAAATGCAAATGGAAAGCCCTAATTAAAAGTAACTTGCAACATAAACCAACCAAGTGTGTGACCTATAAAATTGAAACCAGCATCCTAAACATGTAAAGAATGTAAATCAAGAGGCATAGGATGCATATGGGATCCATAAGAGTCATTTCCTAAAAGGACTAGGTCAACTAGTTTATATGAACCTCAATTAGGGTGACTTGACTTGCAAGGTCCACCAAAAATAGGAGAATGGTTCAATAAGTCAAATAAAATGTGCAAATCTCATAAACATGTTGTTAACCAGAGGCCAAAACAATCAAACCAAATTCCAATCAAGGCATCACCAAATGAATTGATCAACTAGGGTGTTCCACCTTGAAGGATATTTATCGAGGGTCAAACAAATGCAAACTAAAGTAAAATAAATAGGTCAAACCTTGACCAAAATCAGCCTCAAAGGCACCTCAATTCATCATCAAAATGGAGAGGAAGCCTTACTCATAGGTAATTGCAAATGGTCCACATATCAAGCAAGAATAAATGAGAACAATATTAAAAACACTTCCAATTTCAAAATTCAAATTTAATTGAAAAATAAAATAAAATCAAAATTAAAAATTATGAAAAATTAATTAAGATCTCAAAGTGTTGGAAAATATTTTTTGCTGAAGTTTTTGACATATGGAAGTATTTTTAATAATAAAAATGCAAAACAGAAAATAAAAGAAATAAAATAAAACAAATAATGGCTGGGGGTGCATCAAGCAAATCTGGAAACAAAGCAATCCAATTCAAACGTGTTGGGCTCACACTGACTGGGGGTGTGATTAGCAAAGGAGGCCCAAACCAAAAGCCAACGTTCAAATTAATGAAACACATCGTTTCATTAATCCAGCCCAGAGTCAACAATGGCAAACAAGCAAGTCAAGCCAATCAAAAATGAACACGCGCATGGTCAAAAGGTCAAACACCAAAACACGTCAGATCTGAGGATTTAAGACCAGACACCGGAGCCCTAGCTCTGGTCGTCTTCTCCGGCAAGGTGGCAGGAGTTCAGGTCATCCAACCTTAACCAAACTTCATAAAAATGGTACCAAAAGAAAGCTAAGCTCTCATAGGTCTCAAATACAAGATCCATTCATCCATAACACACATAAATTGAGAGAATCGAACAGATGAAATTCAAGATGCACATCAGAAAACTCAAGCAAACATGAACGATAATGAATCAAACATGGCCTACACGAGGTAGAGCTTCAAATGCAACCAGTATGAACCTAGATCATGGCCTAGAATGAGAGAAATATGGAGAAGAAGCTTACTGAATGGAGACACTCCGTTGGTGCTTCAGATGCTTGCAAGCTTGCTTCCAATCGTCCAAATCCACTCCAAATTGCGTAAGGAAGATGAATTGCACTTCAATTTGCCTTGATTTACAGAGGAAAAGGAAACACAATTTTGAATTTCTCTTGAGAATTTGAAAACTGAATTTTCTCTCTCCAAGCTCAATTTGCACTTCTGAGCCCTTGGAACGAATTTTTAACTTATATATGTTGGATATCTGATCAATTGGAAGGCCCATGAAGCCTCATTCAGATGAATTTGAAAAAATGCCCAAAATGGAAGTAAGTCACGCACACGTGAAAATGCTTGCATACACTCATGAAAATTATTTGGCTTTGTATGTGATCCAATTAACAAGTTTCAAGGTGAAACTTCTTTGTGAAGAAAGTTGGAATTTCACGTGTTTTTTGCCTCTTGGACTAAAACCAATTTGTGCATTTTGCTTGTGAATGTGCCATGAAGAGAATTGAATCAAAATAGGACATGAAAATGACCTATAATGTATTCAATTGAAATCACTTCTTAAAGTTCATTTTTCACTTGAAATTTCCACTCAATGTTCACAACCATTCATAATTAACACAATAATTAAGTTTCATGGTGTAAAAGAGGTCCTTAGGAGCAACTTTCATGTTGGTTTAAAGTTCATTTGAAGTACACAAGTGCATGAAAATGGCTTATGTAACAAATGACCTATAATCAAACTTTCCCAAAATACATTTGCCTTGTAAAGTCCATAACTTGAGTTCCACAAATGATATCAAGGACTTCTAGGACTTTTTGTAACGCTAAGATCATGAGGAAAAACTTTCATGTTTACCAAAAGTTAAGGAGAAACATGATTCTAGGTCAAAAGTGCCTTGGAATTGAGTTGACTTTTGTTGACCAAAAAATATGTTCATGTGAGACCTATAACTTGTTGGCATCATAACTTGAGCTCCACAAACCCAATGGATGATTTCTAGTACTCAAAAGAAATCTAAAAACATGCCCTACAAGTTTCACGTTCATAATAAAATGAGATTGAACTTGTATCATGATGTAAATTGTCCTTGAAGTTGAGAACTAAAGAAGGGGATTTTACACTGAGATCCTCTGAAATCCTAATTTAGTAACTTCTTGAACCCTTGATTCTTCTTTATTTGAACTTGAAATGACATCCTAGATGTATCAACATAACTCCCCATAGCTTCAATGACTTAAAATCAAGTCTCAAACCCCCTTAAGTCCACAGTTGACCTTGAGCTGACCAGATGAAACCCTGGGTGCATAACCTTTGACTGTGACCTCCTGCAAGTGAAATAAGTGTTTAGATGAGCTCCACAATGGCTTCTAAAGCACTCAATGAGCTTCTAAAACACCTCTTATCCATAACCATGAGCTTTTGAACCCCTGATGATCCTCTGTTGATCCCCAAGATAGGAGATAAACAACAAACATACCAATCTTCTCTTTCAAAGAGCTATGACCATCTCCTGATGATTGTAAGCACTTGATGACTTGAATAAACACTCTTGATTGAGTTTGAAACCCTGTGAGACTCTCCTTTTGAATGACACACCTCTCTTGATCCCCTGCAAAGGACAATGCTATGCAACTGCAAATGCTAAAATGAAAATAAAACATAAGTCAAGTAAAGAAAGAGGTTGGTCAAATTTTGGGGTACAACAGATATCTTGGATTATTCTTAGACCCTTGGACTTAGAATTAGGACTATTTCTCTATGCTTGGAGTATTATGAATTTTTGCCTTTATTTGACTTGCTCATTTGTTTATGCTTCAAGACAGATGAAATACTTATTTCGCTTGCTATGAAGTGTGCTACAATTCAGTTAGATCTTTCTTATCTTAACTTTTTATTTTATGCTTTAGGATAGTCACTTCATCTTCTCCCCTTCTTAAATTTTCAAAATTTTCTCCTTTTTTTCAAAACCTTATTGTTTTCAAACTTAACATCGCTTTCATAATAAAACCTTGACTTTGGTCAAATGATTTTCAAACTTTGTTTTCTTTAATAAATGTCAATCAATGTTAACCATACTTTGACCTTTTTAAAAAGACATAAAAAATAAAAAAATAAAACTCATCAACTCTTTTTGTGCCTTTGTACACTTTTTCTTTTAAAACTTTTTCATAAGTTTAGAAATGATTCATCTCTTTAAGTGGAATTATTCGCTTGGAAATGACGACTTGTCTTTATATTTAAAAATCAATCAAAACAAACTATTTTTGTTATTTGTACCACGAAATTCGAAATTTTGATCTTATATTACACTCTGTGGGTACGTAGGCATGAGGCGATAAGTCTTTCCAAACACAAAAATCTAAAAAATAATTCTCTTCTCATCTTTCTAATTTCATTTCAAACAAACATTTTCAAACCAAAAAGCGTAAATATTTCAAAAGGTTCCTATAGAGTACTATAAACGTTTTGGGGCTAACATCTTCTCATCGCGTAACCAACCTCTTTACTCATTCTCTGTCTGTTCTTGTTTTAGAACCTCTTCAGGTTTTGTTCGCTTTTTTTTGTTTTCTTTCTTGGATAAAATAAAAGCGCGGTGACGGCTCTTACATTTTGAGTTAAGTTAATCAATAGCTTACACTCACAAATTTTCCCGTTACAGAGCGCAACGAGGGGGAACGAGTGAAGGTGCCTAGAGGATGTGGAACCGGTGGCCGGTATGATCAGCCCGATCACCAACATTAATTTATGTAATAGTATTTTTAATTAACGATGATGTTATTTATTTTTGGTAAAAAATTTACATAATGCATTCTGTCTCAAGATGAATTGGCGACAAGGTTTTAAGTATTACACTAAGTCGCCAATTGAATTGAAGATTTTATGAGGTGTCTCCAATTCAATTGGCAACATCATTCATGCCTTGACAATTGATTGTCAATTGGTTTGATGCTGAAATGCAATCAATATCTTAAACCGGGATAATTTGAAAAATATTTTAAAATTAGAGTATTTTGGATTTTTTTTTATTTTAAAAAGTGAGTTATTTTAGTAAAAGATTCCATTTTTTCTTGAAACTCAAAAAAGAAAACTATTATTAGATTTACAATAAGTGTAAAATTGCGTCTTTGAAGATTTGTGCTCTGCGAACCCAAAAGCTTCAGTGAAGTTCAATTATGGAAGAAGAGAGAAGAGAGGTTTGTATGAACGGTGAAGAAAATGAAGCAGAGATTGTTAAAGATGAAGACAAACTCGCTTTGCAATTTCTGGATTCACTTCATAACTATCTATCCCTCGCTGGTTCTCTCTCTTCCACGCTTCGACAGGTAAAAATTTACACTTTAACCTAATCAAATCAAATTGAATTATCATCATCATCATAAAATATAACCCTTTCGATAAATTTCTTGTATTTCACTCATTTGATTCGGTTATTACTTCAAGGATCGTGATTTATATTACTCTATTCAAATTGAAACCGTTTTCTGATTCATTGTTTATTATGGGTTGGTCATTTCAAAATTGGGGATTTTCATTGTTAACATTGAGATGAGAGGTTGTGAAACTTTATAATATATGTAAGGACTTTCTTTTTTATGAATAGCTCAAAAGATAGAATGAAGTTTTTTTTTTTTTGTATGGGCAAGAAATTGTTTTCATAAGCTATTCGGGAGAGCTTATAGGAATAAGCTGAAAACAAGCTACTGACATGCCATAAGTTGTTTCTGTAAGCTATTCCAAATAGTATCACAAATCACAAGTGCTTAGGCTAGTAGATAAGGCAATTTAAATATGCCCTAGAGATGACCCTGTAAAGTTGGGAATTTTTTTACAATTTTTGTTTCTTTCATAAGGAGATTTAGGGTGTTTTGAGCATGTAGAGAGAAGACATGTAGATTCTGTGCTAAGGAGAGTAGATCAGATTGAAAGGAGTCAAATAGTGATAAATAGAGGAAGACCTAGAAAAACTATATGAGTAGTTATTAAGAAAAATCTTGAGATTAACGATTTGGAAAGAAGTATGGTCCTAGATAGAACTTTATAGCCGAAGATGATCCATGTAGCCGACCCCACTTACTGTGATAAGGTTTGGTTGTTGGTTTTGTTTCTTTGATTAGTATGTTTTCTCTTTTTGTAATTGATTAGTATCATTCGCAGGGATGGCTGGAGTTAGCAAGTGCTAGACATTCTATGGGTGCTTCACGTGTTAATAGTTCTTTATTGGACCTGAAACTCCATCCAGCTGCTACAACATTGAAAATAACCGGAAATGATGGTAAGTTTTGTGTTGTATGGTGAAGGACATGGTTGTTTGCATCGGCTTGATCCTACTTGTATCCTCTTGGAATGCCTTGCCTGGTGTGCCGGCTTACATGCTTTCACTCGCTTCTTTATGATGGCTTCTGTAACATGTACTTGATATTAATAATTATAAGACAGAACCTCTGGTTTAATGTATGAATCATTACACTTGATTCAATAGGTGAACAACCACAATTCACGTTGCAGAAATGGGTATCTTCTGAACATCAAAGTACTCAATTAGAAGACAAAAATGAGCAGCCACAAGAAAGTGACTTGAAATCGTCTGGTACGGTTTTCTTCTCCCTGCATACTAATTAAACGGTATGTTTTTCCCGTTGACTGTTGGTGGTGATAGAGTAAAGGGGGAACCGGGGAACCTATTTACTGAACATGATTCAGAACTTTTCTTAAACGTTAGCATTCTGTAACTTCAACTTGATTAGGGTTGATTCTGAGAAATGAAACATCAACTATACGTATTAGAACAAACTCTTTTTTCATTTTTAATTTGTAATCTTATTCTGCAACTATAGGCTTTTAGTAGTATGTTTTATGTTTCTCATTTTCTTTATAATTGGCTTTGCAAATTACTGAGGCGACCATTATAAAGAACTTAACCGGACTTGCAGATAATGATGAAGTAAGTATTTGAATTTTTTTATCAATTTCTTTTGTTATTTTAGATTCTCTTACACGGTATTAGCATATTAAAATAAAAATTGCAAGTATAATTGGATTGAATTTCTAATATCTTTGATCTCATGAACTTACCGGGTGAATAAATTATAGATTTTGATAGTTCAGTCATTGACATAAGCATCCGAACTGTTACTTGAATTACTGTTTAAATATTGTTTGTGGTTTTCATAGGTTCAAAAGGAGCGACACAAGTCCTTATCAGTTTTCGGAGTTTTGATTTCCCCAAAGCTTCGGGACTCCCAGCTGTCATTTGAGAAAGGTGGATGACAAAACTCTAGATCTTAAATCTCCTTACTTTGTTTATGCGGTTATAGTCATCTGTTTATACTTTATACTTGACAGCAAGAATAACGAATTCTGTGCATTGAAATTCTTTGTAGCACTAGAGACGCTCGTTGAAATAGCAAATATGCGATCAGCATTGTTACACTCTTTTCACCAACTTCATCAAGAGGTGGAAGATACCAAAGAATGAAAAAGTAGCAATTCTTCAGGTATAGATAACCTCAACTCTCCTCATTTCATCTGTCTTCTACTCCTGTTTGGTTGCAAATACATAGAATTGTGTTAAAGATTTCTTTCTCTCAATTGCATCTGCATATCAAGACTATGGTGTTTTATCTGGTTATTGTGATGTATATTATTTAAGTAACATTGTGAGGAACTCACAAGGAAAATGAGTATTTTTAACACAGGTAATTTCTTTAACAGGCTGCAAGAGTGACATCACATGTGGAGAGTCTGATTACAGTATTGGGGACTGAGCATTGCAATTTTGGTTCTCAAGTTAACCAAATGAAAAGTTCCTCATAACGCTTATTTCATTTTGCACCCGTAGGGGTTTTTGATGAGAATATATTTGTAGGTTTGAACAATTTTTTGATGAGAATATATTTGTAGGTTTGAACAATGAGAATATATTTGTAGGTTTGAACAATGAGAATATATTTGTAGGTTTGAACAATTTTTTGTAGCATGCCGTAACGTCAAAAGAAAACAATTTGAAATTGAAATATATTGTGTTCTCATTTATTCTCTTTGATTTGTAGATTCGCCTTTTTCTTTTGTGGGTTCAATATATTTGATTCAATAGCACAGTCATCTGATGACTAGAGATGCCATAGCATAATTTTTCGAATCAGACTACTTGGCAAGACTTGATCAAAATAAATTCCTTCACCTTGAAAATATAGCACAACCACAATGTGTGCTATCAATCTTTTCTAATTTTCTTTCCTTTTTGAGATACAATAAAGCTCTGCAAGTTTGAGATACAATATAGCACAGTTTGTTTGATCTATCAAAATAAAATAAAAATAAAGACCTTTGCATGTGTTTGTAATTAAACTTAGTATTACATTCACACCATGTCATTTAAATCTTATCTCCCTCCCACACTCGTTCTCACATTGCCCTTCCCAAAAAAAAATATCAGAAAAGCTCCCTTTAAAAATAATACATTCGTCATACAATACAATATTACTGTCTAGCATTTTTTTTCTAGCTATACACAAAAAATAGGCTATTACAAACAATCAAGGAAATGGAAACAACAGAAGAAAAAACCAGAAAAACATGGACTAGAACGCACTCCATTTATCAGAGCCTTTCTTTGGAGATTGATTCTCTGAAGAAACCTTAAATGGGCCAGAAGAGCCGAATGGATCAGAGTCATCAAAAGAGAATGGAGCACTGTAGCCCAAGTCCTTGCTGCTACTAATTGAGTCAAACCTTGCATGTCCCTGACCACCACCAAAGCCGAAATCTTTGCTGCTACTCATGGAATCAAACCTTGTGAGCGTCTCAGGATTGTAACCAAAATCTTTGCTGCTACTCATGGAATCAAACCTTGAGAATTTATCAGGATTATAGCCAAAATCCTTGCTGCTACTAATGGAATCAAATCTTGAAAATTTCTCGTGATTATTGCCAAAATTGTTGCCAAAATCCCTGCTGCTGCTAATCGAATCAAATCTCGTAAATCTTTCTGCTTGTGGAGAATTTCCACTTTCATGCATGCTGAAAGAGGAATCGAATCTTGACGTGTCAAAATGATCCCCTGCCTCGCTGTACCTTGGAGAGTTTCCAAACTTGGAGAATGGAGTTCCAGGCACTGAATCATCAAAAGCAAATGGGCTTTTTGCCTGGAAAGCACCATCATTAAATGTAGATCCTGTTCTAATCGGGTTTAAGCCAAAATCACCAGATTTAAAGAAATCTCCCTGCTTATCCAAGTCAGAGTCCTACAAAACCAAACATAAAAACTCTAGCAGCATTACTTCAATTACTTTTAAACGTAAGCGCCATGATGTGGCAGGTTTATGTGCCTATAAATCAAACCAACTTGATCTTTGAAATTTGAACACCCTCTTCATTATGAGTTATGCTAAAACCCATTGAAAAATAAGAAGGAAAAGAAAATGTTCATTGCGTCTTAAATCAATTTCAGTGTAAAAATTTCTAAGATCAATTTCCATACAACTAATTAGGTTGACACCAAAATTAAGAGAAAATCAATAAATTAAAAGATGAGTATAGCACACAATACCTTGGGGTTAAAACCCCACACCGAGTCCACGTCATCATTATTGTCAAATGCACCCCAGGTTGATTCATCAAAACTTCTGTTACCATTGATTAACGATATTGCAATTACTAAATGCACCACATTTAAAGCCATGAATTGCAGAAACAAAAAAAAATGAAGAAAAAAGGATGACAAGACATAAACAACACCTTCGCAACAGAGAACAAATTACCTGTGTGTTTCTGCATCTGCTTCGGAACTTTTAGCGAAAGGAGAAGTTGAAAATTCTTTTGAAGGACTCTCCACTGTATTTGTTACAAATGGGCTATCGTGAGGGCTTCTTGCCAAGTCATCTTCACTATGTGCATAAGAAGATTCCTCCTCAACTGTATAATCACCATTAGTGAAATTTTCTTGCATCCCATTTGCATTCACAGGTGAACCATGAACCAGGTTATCGTCAAAGGAATTTTCTCCAGGAATGAATGAAGGTTTTGGCTCTGAAGATGCACTTTTCGTATCAAAAGTGAGATCATTGGCAAATCCTGGAAGGAGAAAAAGTAATTAATAAAACAAATTATTTCAAGCAAATTATGGCATACCAAAAAGTTCATACGGCATACCTTCATCTTCAAACTTATCCCAATCTTCGTCCCAAACAGCTGCCCCCTCTGGATCTCCAGGTTGCCAACCTTGTAATTCATTTGATTCACACAGCCACATTAAAATTGGAAAGACAAAAAAGTGCATTCACTTGTTGCAATATGCTGCAGTAAAAAGTTGACTCATCTATGAATTAGCCATTTAGACTGGCCTTATCAGCCTTTCAAGAGAAAGGTTTGAATTTTTATATTGGGTGTCTAACTGACCCTTATAAAATTGACTTGTAATGTAAGGGGTGTGATTATTTAGAAAGACGTTTTAGGCCATATCTATTTTTAACTTGGGACTTTGGCTTTTCACCAATACACCCCTCATGCCTAACACTATTGGCTAGGTATGTAGATAATAAGGTAGGTGGTCCATGTTGGTAGGCTCTTATATCATATTAGGTTTTGTATTTTGGGAGACTAGGGGTCTGTTTGAATGAGTTTTATTTTATAAATCAATTTTAAAATATTGTTAAGAAGAAAAAAATAAAATTAAACTTGTTTGGTAATCTTACTTTTGAAAATTGCTTAAGAAAAAAAAAACTTCTTTCGAGGAGACACATTTGCATTTATAAAGCTGCACAACAATATACAAATTTGTCATAAATGAAAATTGTACCAATTTTCTGTTTTTTTTCTCTTCCCAATTTTCATAAGTAAAAACCAGAACATTTAAAATCAATTTTAATTTTTTAATTTTCAAAACTTATAAATAGAAGATAGTTTTTAAAAACAGTTTTGTACAAAAGAAATTTTATTATTTTCAAATTTTAAAGACTAAAGAAATTTTAAAGACTAGGGTTTTTCCCAATAGTATATATAACAAAATTGTAAGAGGATACCACACATGGGAATCAAAACAAAGAATCACATATAGCAAAAGAAAATAAGTCAAAATAAATACAAATTTGTGAGGTGATTCTTTAAGGACCAACAGAGCAGAAAAGTGTACAGAAAGAAGTTGTGTCAAGGCAAATCAGATTAAAATTACCATCAGGAAGCTGAACCATTGCAATTGACTTCACATCTATCTCATGCTTCTTGCACCGTTCAGCAAGAGCCTTAAATAACTGCTCAAGATCTGATTGTATGCGATCAGCACGAACCTATGGAATTAACTGAAAATCAGTAACACAGTAATAGGCAGGTTTGCACAGAAATACTAGTCTTAAGTCAAGAATATAAGTTGACCTGAAGAATGCCATCTGCACTGCCTCCTTGTTCCATTTTGACGATGGCTTGCTGCAACTCTGTTTTCCTTTCCTAAATATGTATCAAATAATGGTTAAATGATGCACTGAAATATATGCTCCTAACCTTAATTATTACAATGAGTTACTTGTTGCAAAAAAAGAAGGAAATGTGGAGTAATAAATGACTAGTTACTATCATCAGAATAAATGCCAAACAGCCAGAGACATGTACTCTAATAGACTTCATCAAAACCAGATTCCACCATAAGGATTTGGGTATCAGAAAAGTATACATAAGGATTTCGGCACCTAATTCATAGGGATATGCAGCTCTAAGCACGTACTTATGTTTATTAGTCGGAATCTCCTTAGATAGACCAAATGCACCATGTCTTTGTTGGGGGTGAAACCTAGTAGTTTCATGGTAAAGAAACAAGCAAAATGTAGAAGTAAAGTCGAGTGTTGAGTTCAATTATTGTGCTACAATAGCTACAACCACAGAGATTATATGGATTAGACAATTACTCTGAAACTAGATTTGCCAAAAGCTCCAAAATAAGATTGTGGTACAATATATCAATCTGCTGTGCATATTGACTTTTAACCTTGTGTTTCACTAAAATATAAAGCATATTAAAGTACATTTTCATTTTGTTGGGGAAAGGATTCAACAGAAATTTCTGAACAATTTTGTATGCTCAAACAAGCAAGTTGTTATAATAAGGAGCACAAAGAGTCGGACGAAGAAAAACAGACACGTGATTTAAAGTGGTTCAGCCACACAAATCTGATCCTTGCCACCCACATCCTTAATAAGACAAACTTCACCACAAAGTCGGCCGTGTCTGTACATTGGGTATGCTTCAGGCCCCAAAGACTCTAACATCGAGGGGTGTTTTAGCTATAAAACTATTCATGACTTTTCACCTGACAATTAAAACTTATTGAAAAGTTGGTCCTTCACAACAGCAGTAACAATGCAAACATATAGCATACGAAATATTCTCAACTCTAACAAAAAGCCAATCTATCAACAAATAATATAGCATGCCTAACTCTAACTACCTGTATATCACGAAGTTTAGCTTCTTCTATAGTCAATTTGGATGCTATTTCTGCAACTTGTTTGTATTTCTCTTCATATTTCTTGCCCAATGATTCTGCCTGTAGCATGCCACCAAATGAGGGCTAATTCTCTTAACATCTTAAACTTACATAACATATTCAAAAAAATATATATACCTCACGCTTATCTGCAGATGCCCTTTCAGTAATCTCATTTAGGCGGTTATCACATCTGCTTTTATACAGGACCTGAAATACAAATAACCATAAGAGGGGTGGAAAAGTGAGTGAGTGCACCACCTAACGTAATTTATCACTAGACAAATGTCCAAGACTTCAAGCACATAAGATCCATTTTTCTTTAGTCAGATTCATTATATATAAACACTTATCTATCTCGTTTAAAAAGGATCTAAAAAGATAATAAATCCTTTTATGCTTTTACTCCATAAACTCCTTAACTTTATTTTTTTGGGGATATAAACTCCTTAACTTTACCCACTTAAATCCTCACTCTTTTCACTGACTGCACGATTCCAGTTAGATTCTTTATGAGGGAAAAAACTTCCCTTCTGCAAAATATTAAGCCTTCTTAAGCAGGATTCAATTCCCAGGTATCAAACTGAAGCCTAACTATAACCATAATCCTACCATCAAGTCATCATAGGATGATTTGTGAATCCATCTATGTCAGTTATCATCTGAACAAGGTAAATTGAATTCATAGACAGTCGCAAGTCAACAAAAAAGGGTCATTTGCATGCAATTGAAAAAATATATAAAATGCAACTAATAGCAATTATTGACCCATTTCACATTATTTGTCATAGTAAACCCACCCTTCATATCAAACTATACAGTTCTGGTACACTAAAATAAAATATTTGCATCGGCTTATCTTATGCTTATAAGATAGAATACTCAAGAAAGCTATTTAGCTCAGAACTTTTATTGTGTAAAAATTAAGCAAACGGAAACATGTGTTAATTCTTCCATATAGCAGCGGGTTAAAGGTCATAATAAACTTATTTTTAAACTAACTGGACTCTGTTAATATGACACAAGTTTACTTTCAGGCCAGCTACCAACCGCATGGCCTAGTATGCCTTGATATAGTTCACCTCAACCATAATAAATCTATGCATGCAGCATCAGTACAAGATCAGAATAAAATGGAAACAATATATGAATTACTCACCAATTCCTGCATTTTGTTGCGGTACAACTCAATCTTCTCTTTTGAATCCAATATCATATTCTGCATTTCTTCAGGCTACAAAATTAAAGAGAACGAACTTTCTTTATAATGTCTCAATGAGCAAAAAGTAGCTTGTTTTATAACAGTGCATTTTACAGTTTTGCATGTTTTAGTATTGCAGCTTGATTTAGCTTCTCTTACCAAGACCAAGTGTCTTGGAATGTGAGATTAAACTTTTAAATCATTTAGTTATTTATTACTTATCTCACCTACAGTAATTGGAGTCAGTGTCAAGAAAGGCATAGACAAGTTGATATTTGGTTAAAACAAATCCTCCTTAACACCAACACAAAAAACAAGTATCAACGAAATACAAAAAAAAAAAGCCCATTGAATTGGAACCTTTACGTTCCCAAATTGAATCGCATATGGACAAAAGTCACAAGGCAAAGCAAATACCTTTTTCTCTGCAGTCTCGATATTCTGCTTACTATTATCTGTGTCATTCGAAAAGGAATCATCCAACACAGATGTTCCAAACTTTTTCTGATCAGGCAGGACAGTGCCATCAGCCCGAGCAGGCGTTCCTTGCACAGGTGGCCTCAAACCAGCTGCTGGTGCCACTGGCCGAGTACCTGGCATTCCTTGTTGCTGCTGAAAACCTTGTGACCAGTGAAAAGTGAAAAGTGAAAAAAAAGTGAAGAAATATTCAACAAGATTGAAAAACTGAGCTAGTATAAATTTGTGAAAATACCTGGGTTTACACCCCATGCTGCATTTCCATGAGGGATTTTTGGATGCCCCGTCATAGACATCAATGTTTCGTCAAATATAATATTACTTGGAAGAGATTGCGGAAGAGGACGGCCTTCCCTATACCGCTCCATCAAATAAAGAGCATAGCAAAACTCCTTCAAAGAGAGCATGCTATCACTATCCTGATCAGATAAGTCCCACACCTTCTTTAAGACATCTGCAGAGAGTGCACAAAGATATTATTAAGTGTGCACTATAAAAAAATAATAAAAGGCAATCCTAAGACCTGTTCCTGAAAATGTCCAAAATAATGAATAGAGCTTAAAGAAGAAAAAGAGTTTCAAGAGTAAATAATAAATATATAAAAACAGCAAAGAAACATGTCCACTAGCGTTTTCTACTCGGTGTAACACATTTCTCTTCGCAGGTTTTAACTTCTACTAGCCTGACTGCCTGGCATTGGAAGCTTCATCAGCCATCAGCAAAAAAACAATTGCAGCCATGATGTTCGGCATTGAAATTGTGGAACAACATGAACTGGCTGGCAAATAACCTATAACTTTATAATGAAATATGAACAAGAGAATTTTGGAACTGATTGGGTTTTTTGGTTCATATTCAAATTAATTTTTAAATGGGGAGTTGGTTTCAGGTCTAATAACTGTCGTCTAATTTAAACCCGTGCAAGCTTTTAGCATTAGTGTTGCATTCCTTGAGAAAATAATCAATTATAAGATCAAGTAGAATACAAATGAGAGTTTGGGAATTAATTGAGTTTTTGTGGTTCATAACATGTGAACCACAGAAACTCATAACCCACTAGATTTCAAAATGTGAAGGTGATCTCTTTCTAATAACCAACATCTACTATGCAATCTTCTCATATTCAAACTATCAATATTTCTTGGTTATTTTCTTCTAAAAACAATCTATTCATTATAGTGATACTCATATAACTGAAGGGGAGTTTGGAGGACATAAAATCAGCTTCTAGCAAATTCAAGGTAAGGCTACCAACATCAGAGACACAGTGATCTATTCAACACGTCCTTGATCCAGTCACAGCGGGAGTTTCTAGTATCCTGTCATTTGGAATTTGTTGGATTTTCTTGGTTCATAACCAACCAAATTTATAAATGTGGAGTTTATACTCTATATTAGGCCAGATGACTATAACCTACCATATTGCCAAGCTCAAACTATAAGTATTTGCCACACTTCACTTCAAAATCTATTACATTGTGAACCAAGTAATTCATAGCAAGTGTTATTTAGCCTCTAATAAATACAGGAGAACTTTGAATTCTTCTGTTATACTTTCTGATAAATCTCTTTTAGCTCCTAATTCATCCTCAAATTCAATCCTTTTCATTTGTAAACCATTATGGCAGTAGATGTTGTAGATCTGCACACAGTTCTTTTTCCATATATCAGAGTTATCTGCAGGTACAATTCATAAACCTCATCCTAATTTTGCATCCCAATGTGACTAACTTACTATGGAGGAACCTTTGGAGATCTTAGATAACAACAGCTGTCTCCTTTCAAATTCATGAAATTTCTAAAGTAATCTTTATAGACTTTGGTTGGAAAAGGGAATATTTTTTTGGCAATGTGTAACTACTACAATTCTCCACAATGGTTGGTAAGAAACACTCATATTACGAAGATATATTTTCCCTTTGTGTTTATGTCCGCTCACCGGTGCTTCCCCTCTTTCAAGGCTGAACGGCTCTTTCATATTAATGGCTGTAGCTCAGTGTTTTCTGTGTTTCTAGAGGCTACTGGTTTTCTTAGTAAGTTTGTTGAAGGAGGATTACTTATCCTCCCTCGTTTTCATTTATTCCTTCAGTAAGATTGTTCTATCCAAATACCTTTAAATTAAAAATAAAGAATACCTAATTTAAGAAGTATTTGGAGTAATTTATATATTATTTAGGTGACGGTGAAAATTTGCATTTTCTGTATAAGGAACTAAGAGTAATAATAGTGTTGTTTCATCATGTTTCACTTCAAATTGGTCACTAAGTCTCTTTTGCATTTCACCTAGAGTGTTGAGGGATACATTGCCTATACCTTTACCCATGCTACCTTTTGCTCATGTATCTCCATGCATACATAAAACAAACAAAAAATCATCAAATGATAGCATATAACAACAAAAACAGAAAGTATTTTCTCACCAAGTTGAGTGTACTACATAGATCAGACAACACCACTTTGTTTTGTTAAAACCCAAGTTTTATGTATAAGCCTTGTTTGAAGCGGGATTTAGTAGTGTTCCTTGGTCTTAGCCTATCTATATTTATTGGGATGTCCTCGATCCTATCAACTCTTCTTTCTAGATCACCTATTTTTCTTCAACTCAAATGACTAAATCATTATGGGCAAAATTTTGTCCACTTTTCCTCGATAGGTGCTACTCATACTTTTTCTACAATAGAATCATTCTTGACCCTCTCTTTGCTTACATGTTTTTTTCTATATCTATAGGGATATCCTGAATGTCATCTACTCTTCTTTCTAGGGCTTCTACTGATCTTCTCCTCACATGGCTAAATCATCTCTGGCAAGCCTTTGTCCACTTTTCTTCAATAGGTGCTAGTCATACTTTTTCTATAATAAATCATTCTTCATCTTTTGTTTTCTTACATGTCCCCTCTGTAATGCTTAGCTCATGCTCTTATTTGAAATCCATCACCCAACATACAATACCACTATAGTTCAATAAAACTTCCATGTGAGCTTGAGAGGCATCGTTTGATCATAAATAACACTTGAAGTTAAAGTATTTCTCCATTTTGTATACCCAGTTCGAAACCAATGAATTATGCATGCCTATACTCTCTTACACCTTGTAAGATTGACAAATATACCCAAATTAAGTCATGTGACTTGTTATATATGATATGATCTTCAATTTTCACTCAATTTTACTAATATTTATGGTCAACCTCAACCATGTGAATCTGATGCTTCTTTCCAAACGAGAGTTTATAAATTGCTTTAAAACAAAATTTTCAAAGGAAAAAGTATCAGACTCCAAAAAATTGCCATTCAACAATTTGTATAAATTTACCAGAAACAATAAAATTTTCAGAATCAGTGTACAGTAGCCAGTTTTGTCAGTAAGCAAAAGATATGAGCAGAAAAATATTGAGTTCAAGAAGCTAACACCTACAACCTTCAGCTGATTACTGTTCGGTTAGCTATTTTCAATACTCCATGGACTAGTTAACACATCAGCATACCAAAATGCATAAAAAGTAGACTTTATCAAACAGTTGTTAGTTGGAATGCAAAAGGTTTTACCTATCGGCAATCTCCAACTTAAAAATAGACTGCGTGCCTGCTCCCCAGTGATTTTCCCATCCCTGTCGGAGTCAACTTCCATAAACACCTTTGCATACTTTTGCACATCAGAAGGTCTCATTTTTGGCCACGGAGGTTGTGAACTGTCAGAAGTAGTATTTCCGAGTCCAACTGATCTCCCAGATGTTGTAAGTGGAGAAGAAGCTGATGGTGAAATTTGCTGGGCTGTGTTTGGTGAAGACTGTGTCCGCGGAATCTGACTATTTGTAAGTGCCATTGAGAACGCACTCTGCAATGAATCAAGTGAACTTTGCCTACTTGCAGGGTTGGCACTACTGGAAACTGGAACAATGGACGATGAGGCAGGTGCACTGCTAACAGGATAATTCTGTCGAATAGGATCTTGTTTCGGTGTAGATGCGGCAGAAGAGAAAAAGTCGTCGTCCAAAGCTGAGTTGGAAGGGTACCCATTTCCAGAAACAACCAATGCTTTAGTGGTAATAGCTGTTGGCTGGGACATTGGTGAGACCGGAGACGGTGATGTTGGCGTTGGTAAGGCAACAGATTGAGTGATTCCTGCAGGCCTAGAAGGAGGCATGGCAGTCCTTCCACTATTCCAATCATTTGAGATGTTAGCATTTGAGACATTGGTACCTGCAAAACCCTGTTGCGGACGAGGGGCTGTACCACTGGGCATTGATTGAGGTGGACGAGGAGTGTTACCAAGCGGCATGAATTGTTGTGGACCAGGGGCACTACCTGGAGGCATAAATTGTTGTGGACCAGGGGCACTACCTGGAGGCATAAATTGTTGTGGACCAGGGGCACTACCGGCAGGCATGGATTGAGTTGGTCTCATGGTTGGATTCTGCTGGGAAGGAAGATATTGTGGATTTGCAACAGAACCTGGTAATCCCTGTGATTGAGGTGGTCTCATGTTAGGACTCTGCTGGGAAGGGAGATATTGTGGGCTTGTAACAAAACCTGAAAAACCCTGTGATTGAGGTGGTCTCATGTTAGGACTCTGCTGTGAAGGTAAATATTGCTGGTTTACAACAGAACCTGCTAACCCCTGTGATTGAGGTGGTCTTGTATTAGCATTCTGCTGAGAAGGTAGATATTGCTGGTTTGCAACAGAACCTACTAACCCCTGTGATTGAGGTGGTCTCATATTAGCATTCTGTTGGGAAGGAAGATATTGTGGGCTCACATCAGAGCCTGTTAACCCCTGTCCTCTATAAGCAAGATTTTGAGTAGACGTGGGTGCGGCATTCACACCCATCTGCCCAACAGACGAGGCAGCCACTGGATTCTGACGCTGTGGAGGCAAAGCAGCAAGATTGATCTGCGGTGGAGGAATTTTAGCAGCAGCCGGACCAAACAACGCTGCTTTCACAATATCAGGAGTTAAATCTCGCTTACTCTGAGCAACAGTTACTAATCTCAAAGCATTATAAAAATCATTCCGCCCAAGGAAACCAGTTTTGGACTGATCAGCATGCATCCATACCTGTAGTTCATACCAAGAACAATAAGCATTACACTAGATCGAGTTACAATCCCCAATTAGAAGAAACAACTACAAAAACCTAAAACAAACTTTCTAAGCAAAGAATCCATTACGAAAATCCTACACCTAAAAAACTCAAAGAGAACAATAACTACACATAATTTTCAATTGTAGTAAAGTGACTTCGATTCATTTGGTTTAGATTGAAATTATAGAAGAGAATAAAACAAAACCTGAGCAAGAACGTGTTTAGGCAAGTTGGATCCCTGAAAGAAACCTACGGCTTCAGCTCCACTGATTCTTCCATCTCCGTCCAAATCTGCTCTCCTAAAAAACGCTTCGAACTGATCCATGTTCGGTGCTGCCATTTCTGTTCCCAGATCGCGCGCCACAGAACCAACTCAATTAGGGATTTGGTTCGTGGAAGAAGGAGAAGAAGAAAAGAGGGAAATGGAATAAAAGAATGATAATTGTTGAATCAAAGGGATTCTAGTTCTCAATTGGGGGATTTGAAAAAGTGAGGGTGATTTAAGGTTTTGATATTTTCCGGCGAGTTTGGGTTCTGATATTCCAACGACCGTAATCCAGGCTGTGCCTCAACGGAGCAACTTGTTCTGACGATGATTTCATTACATTGCATCTACCTATCATATCATAAATCATAAAGTAGTAACAATCATAAAGTATAAAATTGAATTTTTTTTGTACAAAAGAAATTACTAATACTAATCATAATCATTTTTGGTCAAAATAATAACAGTATTAGTATAACATAAATAAATAAATAAATAAATAAAATAATAATAATAATAATATAAAAAATAAAACTGATTCCCGAAATTGATCTTCCTATTTTAAATTTAAATAGTTTAGGTCTTCATCTCATACACTTAAAATTTATGATAATTCCATTTTTAAATAATAAATTACGTGTAAAACATGACAAATCATCTTATATAAATATATTATTGAAATTTATATATAAAAATATAAGTTAAAAAACAAACATCTTATCGATTTTCTATGAAAAGACGTAAAGGGAAAATCAAAACTGTTTGAATTTAAATAGAAATACCAAAATTATTTGAATTTAAAATAAGGACACTAACTTTCTGAATCAGACAAAATTGGATACCAAACTGGAATTTAGCATAATAATAATAATAATAATAATAATAATAATAATAATAATAATAATAATAATAATAATAATAATAATAATGAAAAGGGAAATAGGATGAAATGCATGAGAAACTCTGGTTGGTCGATTTTCGGAATGAGAACATGAAAAGTATTGTTTATCGAATCAATCAAAGAGGGGTCCCTCCGAACCTTACTCACAAAATGATGTAAGGACGACACCAAAATATCCCAATAGTGTTGGTAAAAAAGTGTTGGGAAACCACCTTCACCTGGGGCTTTATGAGGACTCAAATCAAATAGAGCCTTCTTGAACTCTAAATAGGATGAAATAGAGCACACGCTTACTTGATGATCCTCCAAATAAGTCAGATAAGAAAAAAAAGAAACGATGGCCTCCCTTGTCTCTTGGTCTTCCTTAAATAGCTTAGAAAAAATTTGCATCGCCATCTCTTTCTTCTTCTCTGCGTCACATTCTGAATCTCTATTCTCATCTTTAAGAATCATGATTTATTCCTCCTTTCTACGCATATTTTATTCTCATCGTTAATCCACTTACCTCTAAACTTTTGAAACCAAAGACACTCATTCCAGTAAAAAGTTTGATCTCATTGGTCTTGAATATCACCCTCAACATATTTATGATATGTATTATAGCCATATCACACGTTATTTTGTATTCCATTAAACTTGGCTATAATTTCATTCTTACGCTTGAAGATATTCCCAAATATGTCCTTGTTCCACTCATTAATAAGAGTAGTCCCACCATCTAACAAAGACACTAACTCCCCCTAGATCCATTTTTCATGCATACAAGGACCAAATTTCTCATGCATAAGTCAAGTTGTCTCATATCTAAAAGGGAAATTGTGAGGATTATATTGCTTCCCTTGCAGTATAACAATAATGGGATGATATTTCAGCTTGATACGAGGCAAAACGCTAGCAAACCCTTCTAAAAAATTGAATCTTCACTCGACATTGTAGAGGTCCCCAATCAAGATTTTTAAAATTTTAATTGTTGCCCTCCGATTGAGTTTCAATTAAAGTGAACTTAGAACCTACAGTGGTCACTTCCATCATGTGACAATCATTAATCCAATTTCCAAACTCTACATCTTTTCTTTTTACTGGATACAATACCTGAAGGTGAGAAAAACACTTAGAAGGGGGGTTGAATAAGGGTTTTGAAATAAATATGGCAATAAAAACAACACAGTATTTTTATCCTGGTTCGTTGAACTCAACTAATCCAGTCCACCCTACCCAGGTGATTTACCTTTCTCAACAAAGACTTAATCCACTATATTCAAACAGATTACAATGTCAACCACTAAGAACAACTGTCTTACTCTTCTCAAGAAATTCTGACCACAACTTGGTCTTCTTAAGGAACCTTTTACAAACAAATGTAAACTAAACAAGTGTTTAAGTTGCTTCTAAAAAGCTATATCACAAACTGTGATTTTTACACTTAGTTTAAGAACGAATAAAACTATTCAGCTTATGAATAAAATTGTATGAGAGCTTGAGAGTAGTTTTCAGTTTGATTTCTCAAATGATTCGTCAACTTTGAAATGTTGTTGAAGACATCCTTTTATAGGCAGAAAGTCCAATGCTTGAAGACCGTGCACTTCTGTATGGCTGTAGCCTTTTGTCTTCTATTGACTCTAGCTTTCCCAGAAGAGGAATATTCAGACAAATCCCTTTTGTATGATTTCCTGTGCCATACATGAATAAGGAAAGAGTCGTTTGGAATATGCCAACGGATATATCTTTGAATAATATTTTCTTCAACAATGCTTCTGTCTCAAAGTTATCACCATCAGAGTCTTGATGTTATCAGAGTTTTGCAGCCAAAGTGCTTCAGCGTGAATATCAATCAGAGCAGAGTTTGAATAAGAGAGCCTTTGTACTTGCAGCGTAAAGTACATTCAGAGTCTTCTTGAAACAATGCTTGAAACTCTTCATACAAAATCTTCAACTACGCTTCAGAGTCTCTTCTGGCAGCGCTCAGAATCTTCTGATGACTTGCTTATGATGCTTCATAGCTTTGCGTAGAATACTGTTCAGATGCATTTTTGCTTCCATAAGAATATTTATTTTAATATCTGAAACAAAAACACTTGAACAAAATTAGAGTATATATTTTCTTAATACAAAATTTCATTAGAGTTATCATCAAAACATAGAGATATAATTAAACACCAATCTGTGTTCTAACAATACCTCCTAATAAAACATGTTTTAGATGATTTTCCATAATCAACGAAGGATAGAATAAGTGTTACAAAACTTCGTAGAGTACAATTTATTACAAAATTTGTGTTATTCTCCTATGAGGACAACGAGGAGAAACTTTCTTTCTATTTACGAAATTATTGGTTCTTAGCTTAGTATCATATTTATATCATAATTGACTGATATTTATTTTTTATAATGTGTTCTATTTTTTATTTGTTTGTTTTGTAGGATTTATCATCAGTGTTTTTACTATTTTTATTTAACATTATTTTCATGTTTTCTGTGTGTTTTATCTATGTGTAAAAAAATTGATATAAAGAAAAAAATACTACTAACAATAATCAAGTCTTATTCCATTAAGTGGAGATGGATACATGGATCAATTTTTATCATAAAGTTATATTCAGAATCATACTTTTATCTCAATCGTTAATCTCAAGATTTTTCTTAATAATTTTTCTTATAGTATTTATAGATTTTTCACTTCTGTTTGTTGTTTGACTTCTCTCCATTTGATATACTCTCTTTACCATATAATCTAGAGGTTTTCTCTCTACATGCTTAAACCACCTAAGTCTATTTTTCAACATCTTCTCTACTATAAGTGTTATCTTAACACTCTCTCTAATATTTTCATTTCTAACTTTACCATGTCTAGTCTTACCACACATCCAACACAGGATTCTCATCTTTGTTACACTTACTTTATTTTTGTGTTAATTCTTAATCTTTCAACATTTTGTCTCGTACAACATCGCAGGTTTTACTGCAGTCCGATAATTTTTCCCTTCATTTTGAACGATACATTTGCATCACATAAAATCTCTGAAGTCCTTCTCCATTTCAGCCAACCAAGTTGAATTCGATTATTTACATCCTCTTCCATTTCTCCATCATTTTATATTACAGATCTAAGATATTTAAACTGTGTGACTTGATGGTGTCATACCTCGGAAAAAAGAATACAACCTCGCGATGAAAATCTCCCTAATGGACTAACAGAGAGTCACCACCAAACTTTATTTATTTCCAAAAAAGGAAAAGGGAAAATATCGGTAAAAAACCCATGGACGAAAAAGGATCGCAACCAATGTCAGATTTGGAAGTCGGTTATGCAAGGGGAAGATATTAGCACCCCTACATTCATTGTACTCAACGGGAACCATCTAAGTTGTCTACGCATGAAAAGGTGTCGTTTATCTAAGAGTTTATCTGCTAAAGGGAAATAGAGAGTTTTTTTATTAGGATGCTCGCCTCGGTGTTGAAACCTCGTACCTACGTGCCCTCATGGTAAAATGAGGAAGTCATAACTTCATATTTCGGCACAAAAAATGAGTGTTTGTTGGTTGATTTTACCTTGAAAAAGGATTTTCGGAGTGAGGCCCTAAGGCGCAAAAAGGGAAGTTTGATGAGTTGATATTGTTTTTAGGATTTTGAGAAAATATTGTTCTTGATTAGGATTGCACTAAAGACTATGGGTAGAGGTGATTATTTTGAGCTACCAAGCCAAACGTCTTGTGTCAAAATAATCAGAATGAGTGTAGGAAAGCTCCATTCTCACTCCTTCTCCACCATTTAAGGCTCGTGGCGTGCAATCCTAATCGCATCTTATTGTGTTTTAATTTGCTAGAGAAAAAGCCATTTGATGTTGGATAAAGGGTTTGTTTGGTTGTTTATGAAAATGTTTTGGTCAATGGGAAGGTTGATGGCGATACACGAGATAATTGACTTGCATAGGGTGAATGCAAAATGGAGCGTAATTGGCTAGGGGTTGATGGTGATGAAAATCCTATTGAATTGATTTTATTATGAAAAATGTTTGACGTTGGATCAAGCTTATTTGTTATCTTTTGAAAAGGGTGATTGATTTTATTCTTGCATTAGAAACTACCCAGGAAAAAGCAAATAAAGAGAAAGCGGTAAAGTTATTACACGTCATGGGAATAGGGATACATTTTCTCAAATAGGGATGAGAATGAAC